GTGTACGGTGTACTTGCAGGGGATCCAGTTTCCACGAGCACGACCGGCTGTCATCCGTTGCAGCGGAGTTGAATTTCAAGTCGCTGAGCCGCCACTCAAGCCCCACAGAGGACAGAGAAGGTGGGCACACTCATAGTTTGACACTGGGCACGTCATGCTACTTTACTCCTTCAATATTCAAATCCACACTGTTTTCCCAACAGAACCCTCTTATCCGAAGGGAGATTCCAATAGCAGCACACGCAGGAGCTGGGAGCTCCGCACTTTCATCAGCCAATCCAAAGGTGAAGTGATGAATTGGATATGTTTCTCTAGACCAGAGTTTCCCAAACTTTTTAAACCAAGTATCACCAAAAAAAAAAGAATTAGCCCTCCAAGCAACACCATCATGAGCAACAATAAAATACGGTAGTGTAGAAGGCCTAAGTGCTCATCAAAAGCGAGACGGAGCAAATGTATGTTACTGTATTGTAAGCAGTGGCCCGGTGGAGAGTGGTTAGCGCGTCGACCTCACGGTGCAGAGGTACCGGGTTCAATTCCATCTCCAGCCTTCCTGTGTGGAGTTTACATGTTCTCCCTGTGCCTGCTTGGGTTTTCTCCGGGTGCTTTGGTTTCCTCCCACATGGAAGGTGGTCTCCAGTGGCCACATTTATATTATCATCCACAAGTGAAAATCTTCTTGCAGTGACTTAGAAACATGCCCTGCATGTCACTCTGCTCCATTGACTCCAGCGAGTCAGTTAATGTTTCCGCCATGAAGACCGTGCGTCTCCCCTACGCTAACTTTTAAGGGTATGAGAGCCGCTTCCATTGGCCAGGAAGCAAGTCAAAGATGTTCACTCCCACAGCGGCGCAAACGCCTGTTTCTAACTACGTGCATCTATAAAAATACCAAAGGAAAGAAAACTCCACCCAAGCGCAGTTGGGCTTGCGAGGCTAGACTTGTGCTGGGCATGACAATAGGGCCTTAAAAGTCACTGGTAGAGAACACATTGCATCTTTTTGACTACATTAAACATTTTCTCCATCAGACTCTGCGGCCCGACAGAGCCCGTTGGAGGCTGTCCGGCGCTCCATCCGCAAGTTTGAGGAGAAGCGCTATGCTGTTATGAAGCAGCGAAACATCATCGGCCAAGTGTGTCACACGCCTAAGTCCTACGACAACGTGATGCACGTCGGGCTCAGGAAGGTCACCTTCAAGTGGCAGAGGGGAAACAAGATCGGTGAGGACGGTTCTTCTTTTGCTACAATGTTAACGAAGCGGTGAGGTTAGAATGTACAGTGCATTCGGAAAGTATTTCTCAAACTTTTTTTGCATTTCATGTTACAGCCGTATTCCAAAATGGAATAAAGCAATATTCTTCAAGGTCTCCACACAACATAACATCAAAACGTTTTTCTTAAATGTGCACATTTGATATTCCTTAATGAGTCTCTGTGCTTTATAAATTTGGGAATACATCTTGAATGTGTATTTTCTTCCACAGTACTTGAGTGACACCAACTACCCGTGCCAAATCTCTTAATTTCATCCTCACACTTGGCCAATGACGATAACTCTGATTTTTATTCATTAATTCTGATTTTGATGCATGTCTGCATGTCCACGTTTGTCAACAGGTGAAGGCCAGTACGGAAAAGTGTACACTTGCATTAACGTGGACACTGGAGAACTCATGGCCATGAAAGAGGTTTGTCGCCCAGCAAGTGCTCCCTGAACTCTACAGACACGCAACACAAAAGCGCGGTTTGGTTAATTTATACACTGGATCTTTACAACGGTTTGGCAGTTGAACAACGCATAATTTTTTCAAGATGGCTCTTTTTGGGTAGGATCGGTGTTATGCCGTGCATCTGCTGAATGTCGGTGCTTGTGAAAATGTAAATGAATGGAAAATGTGGTATTCGTGGCTTAGATTTAAAAATGAATGCCAAACAAACACATTCTCTCTCTTTTTGTCGCGTGTCCTCAGATCAGATTCCAGCCTAACGATCACAAAACGATCAAGGAGACCGCAGACGAGCTGAAAATCTTTGAAGGTATCAAGCACCCAAACCTGGTGCGATATTTCGGAGTGGAGCTCCACAGGGTAAGACTTTGGCTTCTGCTGTTCCTCACCACCTCTTCCAATTCAGTCACTGTTTATTTACAAAAGCCGACTTTGGTTTATCGCCCTTCAGGAGGAGATGTACATCTTCATGGAATACTGTGACGAGGGCACACTGGAGGAGGTGTCCAGACTGGGTCTGCAGGAGCATGTCATCAGGCTCTACAGTAAACAAATCACCACCGCCATCAACGTCCTCCATGAACACGGCATTGTCCACAGAGACATCAAGGGTCAGCGTCCGGACACTCTTAAGTGCACATTTCTGTCTTGCGCTTCTCCTAAGAATGGCACTTTCATCAGGAGCCAACATCTTTCTGACATCTTCTGGCCTCATCAAACTGGGTGACTTCGGCTGTTCTGTCAAGTTAAGAAACAACACCCACACCATGCCGGGCGAAGTCAACAGTACCCTTGGGACAGCCGGTAAGACCATTCAGTGATACAGTAAATTCTACTACTACTACTACTATTTAATTTTGGGTGCCTCTCATTTTATTAAGAGAAATAATTACTTCATTATAATAACCGCACACCACACAATAGTTCTGCACCACTGCAAATCATGATAACATCTTTTTAAACGAATACCTCCCTGTCTGTGTCAATCAAAACTGAGCATTATCTTTGTGAATGCAGGTTTTTGGAGACTATTCGGTCGACCAACTGTTGTGGTCGGCAAGTGTATTTCTGCTGAAGGCTGTGCTCTCCAGTCAAACCCGTTTCTTTTGTTCCCCTTATCTCGACCAGCATACATGGCACCCGAGGTCATCACCAGAGCAAAAGGGGAAGGTCATGGCAGAGCGGCAGACATCTGGAGTTTAGGCTGTGTCCTCATTGAGATGGTCACAGGAAAGGTTAGAACGAATCACAAAAAATGTCATATATAACATATGGTATATTGGCTTCCATGTAGTCAACAGTCACGAGCGGGTAGTTGGTAGTTCTGCGATTAAACCACATCATAGTATATCTCTCATTAAATTTCTTTCCTAGGGGTTGCAAGTACATGACATCATCTTGGCATTAATACCGCCATTTCTGAATTGCAACATCCGATTCCTTTCCCCCTGTTTTTCCCTTCATGCGCAGAGACCATGGCACGAGTATGAGCACAACTTTCAAATCATGTACAAAGTGGGCATGGGCCACAAGCCCCCCATCCCCGAGAAGCTGAGCACAGAGGGCAAGGACTTCCTGGGCCACTGTCTGGAGAGCGAACCCAAACGGCGTTGGACGGCGAGCATGCTGCTCGACCACCCCTTTGTCAAAGTCAGTGGGCCGAGGATCCTCTCAAGCTATCACGGATTAATGCGCAATGTTTAACACTAACATGATCTGTCTCCTGCCTGCTTCAGGTGTGCACGGATGAAGAGTGAACACAAGAGTGACTTTTGGACTTTGCGGCACACACACTGTTGCCCACACAACTGTGGACGAGTTGATGTTTTGGCTCAAGGCACATGCAGTTAAACTGAGGAACGTAAATCCATGCAGAGGACAAGTGGACCTTTGTTTTTGATTTTAAGTGTATATAATGTTAAGAATAGCATCTGCATTCATTCTTGTATAAACAATATTGTAAAGTTAAAAGTAATTATTGTTCTCACTGGCGAAGCGAACTCTGAAAGGACTTTTGAGAGCATTCACTTTTTTTGGGGGGGGGTCTGAATGGGGTGGGGGTTAGAAAACCTTATGGCACTTTTAAACTGTTTACCCAAGGGGGCAGTTAAGTTGAGTAGTGGAGGGAAGAATCTCATTTCAGTTGACCTTTGAGAGGCAGGGGAAAAAGTGTTGCTGAATGGAAGGAACTGCATCTTTTATGACATGAACACCATCCAAATATTCATATTAATTTATCACTTGCCAAACGCGAGCAACGGGAAGGTTTTTGTTTCATTTCTTTGATTTTGCCGAGGAGTAAATGTAAAGTCGTTGGGAAAAGCTGGTCGTACGACCTGGTGCAGCCCAGACCAAGAGAAACATGGCCTTCTCTCTGCTGCTGCTGTTCCACACACACACACACACACGGTCCTCTGCTGCTCTTTACAGTGTTTGCTATGTACAAATATTAATAAACCAATCAATTTTTTAAAGAGGCTGTCTCTCTTTTTCAACACAAAGGCATCTAATACTGGGGCCACCCATTTGATTACAGATACCAAAATAAAAAGTATTACAGTATCCAATTTAATAGTCTTATGTGCCTTGGTTCCTCAACAAATTATGTAGAAGATATAGGTTAACTAATGATTGTTTGCCAGTTGTGAAGTATCACCTCAGGTACGCCTAAAAATGGATGGCTTGGGGAGCCGAGGATGAGGAGCGTCAGCGCAGAGCGCCGATGCGTATGTGGAATGGAGTCGTGGTTTGGAATTGAAGTGGATTTACATGGAACAGGAGATGTGAGCCAATTTCTTTTTCGTCAATGGACGCTACAGCTTCTTGTTTGCTTTCAAAACTTAGCTTGGACGTGCACATTTTCAGCATGACGTCCCTGATCCACTGGTGAAAGGACACTCTGATCATCTCCTCTATAACTGCTTCCAACAACAAAGTGTGCATGAAAGTGGTAAAGATTGAATGACTGTCTTATGGGTTGTATTATTTTGTTATGTTATGACTTCAAGATGGCGCTGTGAGAGTGGCTGCCTTTAAAGTAGCTCCTATACTTTTCTTCTACTTTCTCACTTTCATAACTTTGCTGCTGTAAATTGGGAATTTCTCCACTGTGGGACGAATAAAGGTTTTCTCATTCTTAAAAAAATGCACATTCATGTATTACATTGTAGTGTCATGTAATGTTGAGAGGGGGCGCCATAAGCAAACATGCTAATGTGCAGAAGAAAATATGACAGATCCAAAAATAAGATGCCATCGAAAGCGGTCAGGAATATTTTTCATAATGTATACATTTATTTATGGAAATGTGGACATGAAGCTTGATTAAAAGCTTGTTCACTTTCTTTGGAAATCATTTGCTCACACGAGTGGCGACAGTACAGGAAACCAGTGATGAAGCATTGTGTTAAAGCTATCATTGCACAAATAACAAAACATGATTAAAAATGCCCCCCCCCCCCACAACAATGAGGTTTAATATCTCCCCGTTTGAAATTAATGAACTTCCTGAGCACTTTCCAGCTCAGTCAATATCAAAACAAAAAAAAAAAAACAAACTTCAAATGACTTGTGATTAAGTCAAACACTAGAACAGTATGTTTCAAGTGACAGTAGGAGCCTCAGCAGTTTGCTTGGAGGTTTTCCTTAGGGAGCCACTCTGCTCCTCTGCTTCCTCCTCTTTCGACCCTGAACACACACAAACACACACGTAAGTAACATAATAACACAATTGATTTTGTGCCAGTTGCTGGACGTGTCCATGGTGGCTGGACTTACGTAATTGTCTGTGCAGGACCAGTTGGGGTGCAGCTGGGTGTGGAGGCGTTTTTCGGCATCGGCAAGATGGTAATACTTCTCCTGCTCCTTCTCCGACAGCGATTTCCACTATGATGTCAACACGCTTTTTTGTCACTAAACAATACAGTACTCTCAAACCTTCCCAGATGGATGTCAGGTAATTCAACATGGAAGACCTTTACCTTTTGTCGCCTATAGTAAGGTAGATTCTGTGAAACATGACATCTCCACATATGAGGTTGTCAAGAGTGACAGTGCCACACACACTCACCATATGACCCAGGACTTTATTGGCCACAGCGCTGTCGCGGATGTTCAATCGCGCCATAACATTCTCCCTCTGCTCCTTCCGGAAGATCATAAATGCATTTGGTGGCTTTTTAATGTACACTTTATCTTCATCCTCCTGGCCTTCACGTTTCCTTTTTCTATTGGGGGCAAAAAAAAGATATTTAACAAATCATATTCACACTTCAAATGTGGATGTAAACGTATAGAACGTGAAATTAAAACTATTAGGGATTTGTGCTTTTTTTTCCTTTTAACATACTTGATGGACGGGACTTTTCTTGGGGGGGAGCTCGGATCCGTAAGGCTCCTTTATCAAGAGAGACACATAGCAAAGACAGCGTGTTGATGAAGTCCAGTGTGTGTGTGTGTGTGTGTGTGTGTGTGTGTGTGTGTGTGTGTACACAATACCAGTGTATTTTTATCTTCTTGGTGTGGTAGTTATTGACATTCCACTTCTTATTTTCTGCACGTTTTCTTTTTGTGGAAATACCGTGTATATGAAAATAAAATAACCGCTGATAATGTATCATAAATAATAAACCTCCAATATACATTTTCCATGAAAACAGGCATTTTCTGCCCCATTCTAAAAAACTAATAATAAACAATGAAAACAATGTTTTTTGCCTTTTTTTTAATGTAATAAAAAATTACTGCAAATTGTGCCGAGCCGTGAGTATTTGGGCGTCCGCTATAGTAGAAGAAACATGTTTATACCCCCACAACCCCCCAAACACACAAATACATAAATATTCAATTAAAAAAAACAAAAAACGCTATTTCCCCTTCCCTGATTTATAATAAAAGACTTTTAGGTTGGTTTGTATTTTTCTGGCTTGCATAAAACTGCTGAGAGTTTCCATAGTGCTAATCCACATTCAGGTCAAGTGGACACCCTGGATTGGTTCCCAGCCAATAGCAGATAAATTACCTTTTCCACACAATATCCCAATTTATTGAGTTCCACCTCTATGTGAGTGATCTTACTTACGGCATTTCAACAGGAGGCAACTTTGCACCCTCCGGCAGTATCATCATGGCTTCTTCATGGAACTGCTGGACACACACACACACACAAAACGGCAGATGCACATGAGCTGCAATGATGCTACATGTCCATTGGGTAGCAGTGCACACATTCTACATGTACTACCATGTGTGTGACACTTTCGGAACACTGCTTCTTAAATTCAGTTGTGCTGATTGATGCTTACGGAACTTAAGTGTTGTCATCTGATTGAGAGCAAAACACGGAATTATAATCTGTCCCTCATGCTCTCGGGCTGACTTTTCCCACAGAAAAACCTGCTGCAGCATGTCTAGACTCTGTCATAGTTTATAGCATTTCAACTTGTTTGTGTGCGAGTGTGTGTGTGTGTGTGCGCTCGCATGCGCCATGCATGGTTCTTACCGGAGGAGTAGGAGCATGCGGGTGATTGACAGGCCACTCGTAGGGTGGGTGCTGATAGTTCATATACTGTAGACAGTGGAGATGTAAACCTTACATTTAAAAACATACTGTATATTTTTCTAAAAAAAAAACATTTTCCGGCCATTCAGCTGACTTGAACAGTCATAGTTGTATATGTTGTGCATCTTAAAAGAATGAATTTGTTCCCCAAGCAAAACCTACTAACCCTAAGTTGGTTGCTGTCACATTTTCTTCTTCTTTGTCAACAGGTTTGCACGCAGCCCAGGAGGGAATTTGGCCCGCTCCTTTTTACAAAAACTCAACAACATTTTTCAAGTTCCTTGGTTGCCACTTCGAAACTCGAAGTTTCAGTTATCGCTGTAGGTTTTCTATTCGGATAAGGTCTTTAGACTAAGCTACTCCACAATCTAAATGTTTCCTTTTCTCTGTTAACATGGCAATAGGTTTTGGGTCATTGTTATATGCTGGCACACCGACCCACAACCAATCTTTGGTGTTCTTGCAGAGGAATAAAGGTTTGATCCAAGTTTCCTTGGACCATTTGCTGAAAAACAGAAGCAAAATAAAATGTTTCCACTACCATGCTTGACTGGGGATACTTTTCTTCGGGCCTGTGCATGTGCCTCACTTGACAAGATGAGACTTGCATGGAGCTCCAGACCAAGGGCAATGAATGGTTATTTCAAGGTGTCTTCCACTTTGCAATGGTCGAGCCAATCGTTGTCACTTTCTTACCAAGGCTATTTTCATAACCTATTGCGCCTTATGCAAGAGTACAATTTTGTCTGTTATCTTTCAACAGCTCTTTAGTCATGCCCATGGTAGTAGAGTACAGTCAACCGCCACCAGAGGGGTACTAGCCCACCCGGCAATAGCAAATATCTTAATTTGATGCCCATTGAAATGCATCCATCCATTTTCTCATCCGCTTATCTGCACAAGGGTCACAGGCCTGCTGGAGCTGATCACAGCTGTCTTCGGGAAGTAGGGTGGGGAACACCCTGAACTGCTTGCCAGCCAATTGCAGGGCATACATAGACAAACAACCATTGGCTAACAATCACACCTAGGGACAATTTGAGGTGCCCAATCAACATACCATGCATGTTTTTGGAACGTGGGAGGAAACCTGAGTACCCGGAGAAAACCCACATTGACACGGGGAGGACATGCAAACTCCACACAGGAAGGCCGGAGTCGGAATCCTGTACCTCTGCACTGTGAGACAGCCCTCCATTGAAATGCACTGGAATTTTATTTCTTTACAAGCCCTTTAAAATAAAATTGCAAGCATTCGGTACAACAATGCAGAGCAATAGGGGGGAAAAAAATCCTGGAAAGTGTTTAAAAATCCATGAATAAGCGAGTATGTGGGGGTAGACTGTACAGTAATTGGAAGGTAAGATATAGGTATATACATGACCAGTTCAATCAGGCATATTAGAAATGTGTTGACTTTCCAGAGATGTGGCGCAAAAGGGCACTGTCCAGACTGTAGGAGCCAGATTGTTGGCTGCATTCTACGTTTTTTTTTCTCACTCAATAGAATGCACATTTGCTTGGCACGTCAACTAATTATTTCCTCCACTGGAAGTGATTGAATTGCAAATGCTCACCTGCTTGGTGACATCACCAATTGGCCCAATATTAAGGTGAGCCGGCTGCATGTAACCCAGATGCAGCGGAGCTCTGTAGTTCATGTTCATCAGATTATCTCCCCGGATGTAGCAGTCACCCGACCCTGCATAGTGACTTCCTGTAAACATGGGGAGGTTGTCGAGCGGCATGTCTGCGGGGTCGCAGGGGGTGGGAGGAGGCGGGGGGCGAGCGTTGCACAGGTAACCCATCTCCTCCAAGGGCTCGTAGAGCGGAGTGAGGAGCTCGTACCATTTCATCTCGCCCACACATGCTCCTTTTGGCACAGGTTCCATTTTAGTGCAAAAAGGGAGATTCCTGAAAGACATTTCATTTGCAGGTTTTACTATGTCGCAATTAACATTTGAGTGATTGTATGACATTTAAAAGTGTGTGTGTGTGTGTGTGTGTGTGTGTGTGTGTGTGTGCGCGTGTGTGGGCGGGGTGCAGGGGCATGTTAAGAAGCAATGCTAAAAGGTTTCTCAAATCATTGTAGAGATAATTATGGTTTTATGATGGACTGTTTAATCTGGACCAAATGAGCAATGAGTTTTATGAAATTTGACATCTATAGCAGTCAATGGCAGTGACAGAGTTTTACAAGATGAACACAAGTCACAGAAAGAATAGGGTGGAATCTCAAGAAATTTTGATTATAACCGATAACGATTATACTTTATTGTTCTGTACTAATATGGCAACAATACTCAAAAACTTTTTCACACACACAGTCATTTTGCAAATCAGCTTTTCAATTACTGCTGCTTTCCAGTAGTTTTAGCGCAATTAGGGGTGGAAAATACAGTTGTTGTTTTTTTTTGTTCTTTAATCAGATCCTGTATTCCATATTTCATTCATTCAATTTTCGTTTCAAAGAAGCATGACTTCATCGTGAGTACCATTAAACTTTCAAAACAATGCCGATTACAGTTCATACTTTGAAATGGGTTATATTATTCCATAAAGTTTTTTGCTATTTGCTGCAACATTCAAATCCTGACAGATGTATGCATTACCGCAAAATGTTTTACGTTTTATTGTATGTTTTCAGAAACATCATGTCAGGGTTTCATAAATTATTTAATCAAATAGCCAAAATCAGATAAATACTCACCAAAAGTGACTAATAAATAAAGTTTTTGGCGAGCAGATGAATACAGCCTGCACATGCAGATGACTAATACAGCAGTCACTCACCGCAAAGAACCAACTTGATGGGGAACGGTGTTTATGTCACGTGTTGTCAAAGACCTCTTTGTAACGTTTTCGTGTTGCCATGTTTACGATAATGCCATTCTTCAGCGACGCTACGTCGATCACGTCCGCACTTTCTTTGATCAGTTCTTTGTGTTCAAAGTAGAGCACCGTTTCGGAGCGGTAAAGTTGACTTTCGAACCGCTGTAAATAGTGAATTTAAAAAAAAAGAGAAAAAAAAGACGAGAAAGTGAACTTACGTTAGGGCGCCGTTTTACGCCAGCTAGCAATGACGCTAACATTAGCTGCTAAAGTCCGCGAATGCAACTATTTGAAATAAAATTCAATTTTGGTTTAAACACACTTACCTTTAAATATTTGATGTTCATCCATGGAATTAGATGCGTGAGCATAGGAAAGGCAGAAATATCCTAAATAACGAGTAGTTTTTCAAATGTAGGACAATTACAATGTCATTTGTGACTATTACAGCAGACATCAAAATCAAGGCGTACTTATGAAAAGAAAAAAAAAACATTGTGCAATAAAGCTGATTCGACGGCAGGAACACCTCGGCGCCCATCTGCACAAGGTCCGGGATTAACTGCTGTTGGCCACTAGACCTAGCCGGTTAAACCCGAGCACATAACACTTTACTGTTGCTGAAATTTCTCTTTGTCCAGACACCAAGGACAATATTAGTAAAGTGGAAGACTGGTTGGAAAAATACAAACAGGAAAATTATGACAGAAGGATAAAAAAACAAACACACAAAGAAAAACACATAGTGCACTTTAGTATTGTTCAAGTACTATATTGATTTAGAATATGTTCGGATATTAATTTGGGATAAGAGAAAAACAATCATTTAAAAGTCCAGATACAACAGAGATTCAGGCCATTTTAATTCACATTATAGTAGCATCTCAGTTACAATCACAGTGGTCGATCACAGTAAAGCCATTTCAACCACCCTCAATATAAAGGATGAACCAGCTGTGTTTAGCAGGAAAACATATATGTTGTCTCTTGTCACTGTATTCCCTCAAATACTGTCAGAAGGATTAATTTAACAAGAATTTACATGCTTTCATTTATTTATTTTAGATGAGCTCTGCATTTGTATTGTGTGTGTGTGTGTGTGTGTGTGCGCGCGCGCGCGCACGCATGGAGAGGGGGGTTACTTCATACACATGAAAACACAGACACATTACACACACATATCTATAGACACACACACACGCACGCACGCACACACACACACACACACACACACACACACACACACACACACAAGGTATCACTATGGGGTATTAATAAAAAAATGTCAGCTAGGAGAGGCTCCAGCACACCCGTGACCATCATGAGGATAAATCAGTTCATGATCACGGATGGATGGATACCATACCATTATATTGTAACAATTTACCATCACCATGAAATAAATTACCCGGTAACTGTATTTGTCTAGATGACGGCCTCACATTTCTGGGGTCCAGGGGTTTGAGTCTTTGCCTTCTGGTGTCGGATTTTGTTTTTCTCCGTGTGCTGTTGCTTCCTCACAGATTCCAAAACACGTGATACAGTTGCAATAAGAGCAAAATGAAAATAATACACTGACTGGAGCCATTTTCTGTGACGATCCCAATTTTATTCACCTTTGCTCATATGAATGGTATGTAAGAAAGGTTACTGAAAGCCAAAATGGGAGCTCATTGGCTACATTACAGGAACTGTCATGTGCAGTAATTCAATAAACTTGTGCATTTTAAATTAAGTTCCAGAGAGGAAGTGTGCTTGAGCTGGATGATTGTCGCACACACCTCTTTTTAACAATACAATTGAGAAAACAGATACACTGGTAGAAATCGACAGTCGCAGTGCATACAATTTTTGAAATATTTTTATGTGACTATTCAAACAAAAATATGGTCACTTTCATCCTGACTTAATGTTCTCACTCTGCCATTTTTTTAAACATCTATTTAAATAGTTTCTGTGCTTGCTGTGTCTTTAATTTGAAAGTCATATTAGGTATGCTTGCCCCAAAATGACGACATTTCCGAAGGCAAGCTGAACACCATTGTTCTCGGCACTGTCAACTTCATTCTCTGAAGTACACTGCCTGCATTGTGCTTTCGGGCAGATCACCACTTGTTGCAGCAGAAAGCAGCGGTGCAGTCATAAAGCTAGGAATTTAAATCTTCATTTTGCAGCAGCTGTGCGATGACACATCTCCAAGTACTTTTTGTCTTCCTCAGTTGTTGTTTTGACGAGTCGTCTTGCTCCCATAGTTTGAAGATCTGTTAATCTCAGTCTGGCCAATCATCCAACGAACTCCCACTGAAGCTGTGAGATAAACATTTGTTGAACATTTAATGTTTTACTACTCAAGTGTAAAACAAACACATACTTGTCAGTATTGCCAGAGAAATTAAAAAAAAAAAAAACACTTGCATTTTTATCACTGACAAAGAATTGACAATCTACAGTACAATCTACTCTCAGTACAAATGTCACATTTGAAGTCAGAGTTGAACACATGGTTATTGTGAAAACTAGCACATATGCTTCATGACCACTATTACAACTCCCTTTCTCTTAGGGTAAACTACAGTGGAACCATTTAGGTCAAGCACAAACTTTTCCTCTGAAAACAAATTGTTCCCATTGGAAATCGAAAACACCTGTTTCAGGGTCAAAAGATTTAGCAAAGGTATTTGTTTTAAGCAACATTTTAACAATTCATTCGGTGGTGTGCAGCCAGTGACAGCAAGGTCTTCTCTGCCGGCCTAAACACCGTCAGAAGCACTGATCTACAATTTTAATTTTAATGAAATTGTATAACTTCATTTACTAGCTTCATTTCAAAGTTTGTCTGTCCAGCTTCCAGTCGTATGTATTTTCTTTGTTTTTGTTTTTTTTTGTTCCAGTCCAGTCAGATTTGAGTTTCCCTGTGCTGCCATGCCAATCGAATGTGCCCTTCTCAATCCAGAGTGTTGGTTCATGTCACATACTCAGTATTGGCAAAAGCTGTGTTTTTTTTTTTTTTTAATTTTTAACCAATCAGATTAAGATTCCCCTTAACAAGGCCGCCAAGCAAGATTAGCGTGACATCAGGATTTTTCTGTCCTTTGATTGATCAGATGTAAAAAGAAAAAAAAAAAGCATACAGTCATTACGACATGATAGCCACCATGGCTGATGGAGGAGGAGAAATCTTCATGTCGGACATGAATAAAAATTATTTTTCAAGGTGGACGAAGCTGGCTAGCTCGTTTCAAGCAGGTAAGGAATTATTCAGTAATTCCAGAGCAGCGGGCATGAGTGTAACAGTTAGCTTACTGGCAACAACAAAGAGAGGTGAATTTTAGTTATAAAGAATCAACATCTATGGTGCGTAAGATGTATTTTATTTAAGCTTTTATGTTTTTGATACTTTGTATGCTCTCTCTCCACACACACACACACACACACACACACACACACACACACACACACACACACACACACACAGAGAGAGAGAGAGAGAGAGAGAGAGAGAGAGAGAGAGAGAGAGAGAGAGAGAGAGAGAGAGTTAACTCGTCAATATGATATTGTAGGTTCGAGTTTTTGGAGTTGTGCGGAGGTGGTTTATTGAGTATTAACACGTGTCTATAGTATTTATGCTGCTGCATCTGATTAGGTTTACTTCACTTTCAATATTTTTCTTCCTGTTCTTCTTTTTTGAAAAACACGTGTTCAAATTGACCAAGGTCGGTCAAGTTTAAAAAAAGGACACGAAAAGCCAAAGAAAACCCAAACAAATGCCCATTTATCAATCTTGTACCAAGGTGAGGTGAGGACCTGTCGTACACTGAAGTCTTGGGAAATATGCTGACATCTCACATTACTGAATATTTATTATTTAACATTTCCTGAAAATTATGATGTTCGACCTTTGTTTGACGTCAGAGGTTCCACTGTATTCAGACGCAAGTAAGCACATAAAATGTGTCCATGCCTCAACCACATCACTGCTTGGCAATACCATAAAAAGAAATGCAACTTACATTACAAGGTGACAAATCGGTTGCTTTGTGAAACAAACAGGAGCGGGTTAAATACAGGGAAGGTTAGTCCAACCCTTAAAACTTAAAAGTGAAACAAACCTGCAGTGCAGAGCACCACTGTGGACAAGATGGTCATCACCGATCCCGAAATGATGAGCTGTGCGAGGAGAAGGCCCAGTGGGTATAGGAGCAGGCAGGACCAGAACAACCAGTTGATCAATGACCAGGGGCGGCGTGGAGGGCTGACTATGGGGCCAGGGTACCGCCCCGTCTGCATGTAGCCGTCTTGAAAGCTATCCTTCACATTCATACATACAAATAATAGTCACTGAAGAGAAGATTAGTGACATTCAACTCAACCAAGATTCTTAAAAATCATCAAAACATGCTATTTTTGACACCTCCCTTGAGTACTGCAAAATATACAAAAATATATAGAAAAAAAAAGGAAAATAAAAGTTGTCTGATGAAGGGGGTTCAGCCTCAGCGGAGATCTGTGCTTTTTTTTTTTTTTTTGGTCATCAAAAAAGAATCTCCATTCATTTAGTTGAGATACAGTCAAACTCCTCTACAACGAAATCATGTTTGCAGCAAGAAATTTTTCACAACAGGGGACTTTTCACTGTAGCAAATTCTGTAAAAATATCTCAGACGTAAACACGAACACACACAAAAAACATATTTGTATTCCAATAGTGCATAAGCATGAGCATACACTTATTTGACACTTCATATTTATAATATGATATATCATAAGATATAACAAAGGTTATCTTATACAGTCAGCGTAGGAAGAAAAAAAGGGAAAGAAATTGCTAAATTTACGATCAGCATTTACATTCACTTATATCAATTTATTGCATAATGTCTTTTATTTTGCTTCCTCCATCTTTCATTTTTATTACCTTTATCCGGTCTTCAAGCGTTAAAGCTTTTCTTTTCTTAACTTCTTGGTATGCAAA